AGCCTGTATGATTTGCATGCTGCATTGTCTGCTTACCAGCTATGTCAGCTTGAGCAACTGTTTTGGACTCTCTAAACCTCAGTTTTTTCATCTGTAAAATGGTGATAAAGGCTTGTATTTCACAGGTATAACTGCTCTTACTTTTCTTCTTACCTTCAAAATGTAGCAAGGTGAAAGGAAGGGGGTGTAAGAGGGACTAAAGGGAGGGGAGGGCAAAAGGAAGGAGTGTGAAGTGGTGGAAAGTGAGGAGAGAGAGAGAAGGACGGTGGAGGGGAAGTGTGAGGGGAGAAGGGGTTACAGAGTGGGGGAGAGTGAAGGGCAATGCAGAGAGGAGGAGAAGAGAAGGCCAGTGAGGGGGATATTGTGAGGAGAGAAGGGGTGCAGAGAGGATCAAGGGAGCAAGAAGCAGCCCGGGGTTGGAACTGAAGGCCAGTGGGCCTTGGAGTCCTGGGCTCCTGAGTCCTGGCTGCCTGGGATTCAGGTCTGGGTCTGAGTTCAGTCTGTGATAGGCTCGCTGACTCCGCCTTGAGGTAATGTTTGGTGGTAAGAACCCACTCTGTTGGGCCGTGGAAGAAAGGCTTGGCTATCTATTTTTGTAAAGATTACAGGAAAGAAAATCCTATGGAACTCAGTTCTCCTCTGTAACATATGGAGTCACCATGTGTTGGAATTGAGTCCATGACAACTGGTCTCAGGGAAGCACTCTCTGCAGTTGCTGATTGACTGAGAGGAGCAGCATCCTAGAAAGAAGTCCCACAGGGAGCTTGCAGATTCGTTTTGCCTGGTCTTTAATGTCATATATTTGGAATTGTTTAGCACGTGATGTTTTGCATCCGGTCTCCTTCACTCCATTTCACATTCTTTGATTAGTTTTCTGTATTGTCCATACCCCTCCTTCTTCAGTGTTTTCCGTCAGGGAAACCCGCTCTGTGTCTGTCCAGTGGTGGCCACAAGGGGACAGCAGAGGCTGAGGAAAGCCTTGTGAGCCTGTGGGGCTGTCTTTCTATTGCCCTCAGGGAAACTCTGGCAGCTTCCCTCCCTGAGAGCTGCTGCTTTAGGGAGGATTTCTGGAGCAGAAGTATGGAGCAAGGTCTTCAAAGTCTTTTGATCATGCACTGCTTTCCGTAATACACTGTGAACCTGCAGCTTCCAAATATGTACTAACATTATACAGATTATGAAAATGAACATAAAAAACGAATTAAAAGAGATAAGATTAAATCTTATATAAATACAAAAGCTAATGATTTCAGCACTCCTTATCACCCCCATGGATCCCTGGAGCATCCATGACCTGGTTTGAAGCTTGGCTGAACTGTGGGGAGGGCCTGGCTCCTGGTAGGGCTCGGTCACGTGTCTGTGTGACCCTGTGCAGGCTTCCTCATACCGTTGAGCTTCTATCTTCTTAGCAGTAAAATGAGGAAAGTAAGAACTGCTTCACAAGATTATAAGCCTTAATTGAAATAAGTATGCAATATTCAGAGTAAAATGGCGCATGGTGAATAGCAGGCCTGAGTATTTGGCAATGGTCATGAGACAGCAGACACCCTGGCGTCAGAGCTCAAGTGTCAGTTCTGCCTGTGGAAACACGGCTCCATGAAAGGAGAGGAAAATGGTGCCTGGTGTCCTGGGGTCTGTTAGAACTGCCTCTGAGGGTTGGACATGGGCTCTTCTGTCTCCAGTGGGCCAGGCCTCTCTCCCTCTGATTTCTCAGGGAGAGAGGGCTAAAGGGTGATGTCCTCAACCTTTCCCCATAACTTGGTCCTCAGATCCCTCCCACCAAGCCTTGCGTGTTCCACCCTTGACCATGGCTGGGCCTGTCCTACATTAGATTGGGAAGGTCAGTAAGTTCTTCTCAGGTCACTGACTGGATCACTCATAATCGGCAGTACCCGGGCCAGCTTGCTCTCTGGAACTCACGCACTTGACGTCTCTGTGACTGGAGAGAGTGTTCAG